TTATACTTTACAATTGTTTAAGACTAATAACAATATTTTTTTTAAAAAAAACATTCTCTTTACTTTTGCTATAGCAAAAATATTCCCTTTTGCATTTTGTTGACCTAATTCATTAAATTCCTGGCACAATCTCTAAAGGAGATAGTTAACTTCACTAGACATAGACTAAACCCTTAGCCATTTGGCAAATTTAGAATTTCAGGACTTAAATCATATGACAGCATCAGTTACATGTCCAACTCTCTGCTAAGGCATGAAGAAATCATAAGAGGGATGATATATACTTGCTGCCCTCAGTTAACCAACATTATTAAGTGTCTACTGTGTGCCATGGATTGGGAATCAGAAGTGAGAAAGACACAGCTTCTGCCCTCAAGGAGCTTACCCTAGATATCCAACAATTACATGCAGAAAAATAAATATGCCATTTCAAATACACAAGGGGCCAGATTATTATGATCTTTGGATGCACAATAATCTGGCCACTCAGTGTATATCCTATATAAGAAAAGGCTAATATGCAAATTGTTCCCTCTACCAGGAGTTCAACCAGGGAGGCCGGCCAACTGCCCATGTTCCCTCTCCCTGGCCAGGCTGGCTGGACCCCTTACCCATGCACGAATTCATGCACCAGGCATCTAATACATATATTGCCAGATTATTATGTGTTCAAAGATCATAATAATCTGGCCATTCAGTGTAGTTATACGATTATACAATGATGATGTGTGTGCTGGGGGCATCAAGGGTAGTATGCGCTAAATATGATAAGGCTTCCTAGAAAAGAGGTCTGGAGTGTATTGCAGCATTTAGGAATAAGTGTGAGGACGAAGATGAGAAGCAGAGTTCCAGACAGAGGTAGCAGGAAGTACAAAGGCATATAGATAAAAAGAAACATGACACTTTTGTGAAAATTCTGGCAAGGTGTGGGATTAGAAAATGCTAAATAGAAGGGAAAATGGATGGTGTTCCAAGAGATGACCTAAAAGAGAGAAGCAGAGTACGAGTCTCACTTTTATCTCAAAGTAGTGGGGAGGTGGTGACAGACTTGCCTTTTTTTATTTCAAATTAAATTTATTGGGATAACATTGGTTAACATTATATGCATTTCAGGTATACCACTTTATAATATGACATCTGTATACTCTATTGTGTGCTTACCTCTGTCACCACACAGCCCCTCCTCAGATTCAACACTGGCCATGCTGAGCGCAGTACAAGAAATAATGTAATGATGCTGAAACCAGTTTGGCTCAGCGGATAGAGTGTTGGCCTGTGGACTGAAAGGTCCCAGGTTTGATTCCAGTCAAGGGCATGTACCTTGGTTGCAGGCACATCCCCAATTGGGGATGTGCAAGAGGCAGCTGATGGGTGATTCTCTCTCATCGATGTTTCTAACTCTCTATCCCTCTCTCTTCCTCTCTGTAAAAAGTCAATAAAATATATTTTTTTAAAAAGAAAGAAATAATGAAATGAGTATTGGAGAAGATATGGAGAAAAAGAAGCCCTCCCACACTGCTAGTGGGAATAAAAACTGGTGCAGTCACTATGGAAAACAGACTTGCCTTTTAAAGAGTTTACTATAAAAGTGTGGAAGACAGACCAGAAAAAGTATAGGGACAGGTAGATAAAATGTCTCTATAACTCTGAAGAAGAGAGGAATTGGACCAATACAGAAACAATGAGAATGGTAGAGAGTAGAGAGCTGTGTAGGAGGTGACCTTTAGTTGTATGGGGTAAAAATGAGGGAGGAATCTAGACCTCCAAACTTCTGAATTTAGGAGCTGGGCAGATAGAGAGGTTAGTCACTGAGCAGGAGAGCCCAAAGGAAAAGCAAGTGTGAAGGAAAGGATAACAGAGTCATGATTAGACATACTGATTTCAAGATGAGTTTGGGCCACCCACCTGGAATTGTCCAGTAAGAAATCATAAGGATCTGGATGGAGCGCAGCAGCACAGTCTAGCTAAGGATAAAAGTTCGGCCATTGAAGCCATGAGCTGAGTAAAATTGTCCCAGAGAGAGTCTGTAGAGTGCATAAGAGAAGATGGCCAAAGACAGAATCCTTAAATTACAGCATTAGAAAGATGATCTCAGAAAGAAAGTAAGCAAGCAGGAGACCCAAATAAAGAGAAGAAAATTCAATAATTAGGGAATGGCCAATAGAGTCAAGTGGTGTCCTCAGGGAATTTATACTCCAACTTGGAAGTCAGTGCATCTACAGGTAAAAAAATGAGGTGGAAATGTTGCCCAGGATTGTACATGATAAAGCACACCAGAAGGATATGCACAGTTCTCCCTGAGTTGAGGGAAAGGAAAGAATAGAATTGTCCTGAAGCTTGATGAAGGTGATAGGACTTCACTGGGCCTGAAATTTGGATAGAATTGAAACCAGAAGAGGTCATTTCAACTTAGGCAACAAGATTTGTTCAAATTCATTCTCATGTCCAAAAACAACCTGAGATAGATTTTCTATTGATAGTAGTCAACAGTGTCATCCTTGAATAGTGGAGACAGCATTTGGTTCCCTCTTTTAGTTATAACATTTAGTGTTCTTTTAGTTATAATGACTATTGGTTAAATCTTATCATATAAAACAGGATATAGTGTCATCTGAAGTCATGTACAAAATTAACTTTATGGAAGTCATGACAAGAAAGCAGTATGGCTTATGCATAGCAGGATCATTTCAGAAACACATATATCTGAACTTTGAGAACATCATGAGGATCAATTCCACAGTAAAAAGAAAACTATTGGTTATAATCCCTCTTCATTTTGTCAAAGCTAATTATAAAATCCCTTTACTTTTGTGCAGTGGTCGGCAAACTGCGGCTCTCGAGCCACATGTGGCTCTTTGGCCTCTTGAGTTTTTAGCAAAGGCCAACTCAACCCTTAATTAGGGTTAAGTTAATAACAATGCACCTGCCTAAGTAGTTTAAGTTTAAAAAATTTGGTTCTCAAAAGAATGTCAATCATTAACATTGATATTTGGCTCTGTTGATTAATGAGTTTGCCGACCACTGCAAGTGCAGCTATTCCTAGCTGTGAGGTTGCAGATTCTTAGCCCTTTCCTTTCCCTAGCCTCTAGTGACTAAACTGAGTATGGGGAAGGAAGCAGGAAAGGTGGGAAATCTTCTTGTGCCCTCCCCACTCCTCACCTGCCAGTCCCTTCTCCATCTTCCCATTCCATTCCAAAGCCCTCTTTCTTCTTGAGAACACTTGACTTGCAATGCCACATGGGCAATAACTCTTCATTTACCAAGAGCAATGTATTGAGGGCAGAAACAGTCAGGCATTATCTGAGGAAATAACCTGTCAAAACTTCTCTTTGCTTGTCTGCCTACAATTCTGGTATAGTAGATTGCTTCCCAGAACCAACACCCTATCTGCAAAAAGGAAGGTACAGAACAAGGAAAAGTCATTGGAATACCAGGTTCCAGTGCTGGCTATGTGACCTGATCTTGTACAAATCACTTAACCTCAACTACTCTCAACCTTTAGAGGTTGTATTTTTGGACAAATGAGATATTTGTGAAGGAGTTTTATGATTGCAAAAAGCTAATGAAATGTTAGACAGTGATGATAGGCTATCATCATAGTTACTAGTATAAAGTGAAAAAAAGAAGGATCGAGATTTCTCCTCCTAAATGTGTTCTGAGGACCTAGACCTTCCATTCCAACCCTTGCATTCAACCAGATTTCTCCAGGGCCTCTTTTCCCCTGGTCCCTGTTCATCTGTGCTGATTTATCTTGGCTCATTGTAGTGCTTGATGCAACTGAGTAATACTATGTTACCCCCATTCTCCCTCCTTTGATGCTAGTGGAAGCCCTTGAAATCCACCCCTAAAGAAGAAAAATCGTAAACAATTCATGAAGTGCTTCCTCTGGGCAAGGCATTTTCTTCTCCTGAGATCATTTTCTACAAACCACAGACTGTTCTCACAGAGGAGAAATTAGGAAGCCTTTGCAGCTGAGACAAGAGGCAATTACATTTCTATTAAAAGCTGTCTGTGGCTAAATGCATCCATCTCAGGTACAAAGTTAAATGATGTAATAAACTTATTCAAAGACATAAAGCCATTACACTAAATGCCATTAAATATCTTCCACTTAATGTTAACAAAATGCAGCCATAAATTTCCTTCAGTTGTCATTTTGCAGGATGCTTGTTCTCGTGGCTTATGCATCGGCCAGTTCTTCACTGTTGAGTTTTGTTTCCAAGTCCTGGCAAGTGGGATTCAGGGATGCCTGCCTTTTGAAACATGATGGCTTCCAACTTCCTCGGTATCATCTCTAGTGTATCTGGGAGTGCTAAGTTCACTAATTCACTGTTTTCTACCTCCTGGCTAAAGTGCGGTGTTGAGGCTTCATATTTCATATACTAGAGATCAAAGGCAAGGAGACCCAACCAACAGAGCCACAGCTCAGAATTCAAGGTTGGGAGGTTATACATCTACTCTGGATCTTGAAGTTGATTCAAAGTGTCTTATGTGGAGCCAACCTTTAAAATGGAAGGGGAGAATTGAAATGAATACAGACATTGTATCTGGAAAAGTTCTGTGCCCCCAGTTTTCCTGTGGTTTTTCACCTAAACCCCGGGTCAATGGGAAAGGCGCATACGATCCAGACATATCTCATTAATCTTGCCTAATTCTCTGAACTTATCAGAATTCCCATTTCCCATGCAAGCCAAGTCCTAAATTTAAGAGGACCCAGTCCCTTTATGCTTCTATAAGCAGAATGCCAAGAGAGTGGAAATGAGTGGTGTGTTGGGGATGGGGATGGGGATGTACAAGAAGCTTTCAGCATTTGCCCAGGTCCTATAGCCAGCAGGTGTTTTTCCTGCCAGTGATTCAGTGAGATCCAATGAGAAGAAATGTTGACTTGGCCTTTGTGTAGTGTGGCCTGTCCTGCTCTTACAGGCTGCTCACCCCTGGCAGGGGTCTGTCACTGTGGGCCAGCCAAATCAGTGTCTGATGCTCTTGCTGTCCTTCTTCAGGAAACAGCATCCTCCATTCAGCAGCCGACAGTGTGTCCAGTGCCGTGCAGAAAGCGAGCCAGGCCTTGAACGAGCGTGGGGAGCGGTTAGGCCGAGCAGAGGAGAAGACCGAGGACTTAAAGAACAGCGCTCAGCAGTTTGCAGAAACTGCACACAAGGTGGGTCCTGCAGATGGCAGAGGTCTCAGCTCTGGGCTGTCAGAGAGCTTGGATGCTGAGAAACTTGTTTTCCCTCTGTGTCCCATGAGGGCAGATACAAAATCAAGCCTTTTCTCCCCTATACAATTTCCATTTGCTACTTGGTAAGTAGCAAAGTCCTGAAAGATTCCTCCCTGTCCCTGTTTCTTTGGATATCTCTTTTCTGCTTTAGATATCTCCTTTCTGACATCTTTATTCCTATCTCTGACCTTAGACCTTAAAGAAGTATGGACCATCTTTAATTCTTGCCCAGAAGTTTAGGGCTCAGGTCTCAGGGAACAGTGTGGGGAGGGAGGAAGAGCTCAGGTCCCAGAACACCCCTCCTCCCTTGGCAGTGCTGGAAGAGGATTTAGGGCTGCTTGTGCTGACTTTTCCTTGCTGTCTTTTTCCAATCATGAGCTCAGCGTCCTGTGTTCTTATCTTTTCACCATATGAAATCAAGCTGTCGTCCCAGGGCATGGTGCATCTCAGGGCTGGCCTCACTCTTCAAGGGGCTGTGGACCTCTAAGGCTGGCCTGACCAGCGCAGAGCTGCCTGCACAGTTCCCTCCAGCCTCTGAACCCAGAGAAAAGCATTTCCCAGTGACTGTGACTGTGACTGTGACTGTGGGTACACACACCCACATTCACACACTCACTAAGAATGTGCCTTTTGGAAGGGGAAAGGGAAGGGGGAGTTTTTATTGGCAGCTAGCTGTCTGAGGCAGTCACAAACCAAAGGAAAGAGTCCCTGTTGGTCAGACAATGGAGAGGATTGATTTACTGCTCTTCTTATGTTTAAAATAAAAAAGCAGTTCTTCTCTGGCTAGTGATTTAAATCGAGGTTTCCAGAAACAACTTCCGCTGATAAGTGTTAGCATCTCAGACTCATGATCTGTCCTTACACATATGCTTTTCAGGTGACTTTGTTGGGGAATGGGGGTGGGGGTTGATTTGCTTCAATAGAAAACCCCACTTCTGCTGAGGAAACAAGAATAGACAACCCCAAAAATAACAAGAAAAATCTCTCTAGCCGAGCTCAGGCACGGGCTCAGGCTTGAACCAGACTGTGGATCCAATTCTACATGGATGCTTCCTGCCTTCCCTTCCTGCAGCCCCTTTTTTACAGACCTGTTTCATTGTGTCATCAATTCTCTATCATGACAGGGGCTTACTGAACAGCTGCCTTGGGAGCCCCTTTGAAGTTCCCTGGAGGAGACATGGGCAAATCTGTTTGAAATGCAGGCCAGAGCCTCGACTTGCTGTGGCTGTCACAGACGGAGCGAGCTCAGATTTATGGTTCACTTGTCCCTTGATCCCTTCTCTAGCCTACATAATGCAGAAATAATGATAAGATGGAAATGCTAGGAATCCAGCCCCAGCTTCATTTATAGCAACAGCAACTTTAGTGACTTAAATGAAGGGTGGACAGAGGAAGTCTGGAGAAACAGTTAAAGTGTTGATTTGAAGAAGAGAAAGCTAAAGGGAATAATTTGTAATTGTCTTCAAGTTTGGGAAGGGATTCTCTTTTATGTATGACCTCACAGAATAGAGCAAGTGATCGTGCACTGATAAAATTCTGCTAAAACAAGAGCTTCGGTTAATGATTAAACCATGAACTAGGTTACCAAGGATGTCTGTGAAATTGCACTTCCTAAGATGGAGTAGACAATACATGGAGGTCATGGATGTGGGCGACCCCCTCAGAAGAATTTATACAAACACTGGACTGGATAACATAAGCAGATGGCCAGAATTCTTGGCCATGGTCATCTGTTTCCCTGATACTTTGGGAAAGTTTGTTAAGTAATTGGGAAGGCAGTATGTATGGTATGGTGATTAACATCTTGTGTTTGATTTATCATCTCAGTAATTTACTCATCAGTGCCCTGGGACAAGTGCTTAATTTCTCTAAATTCCAGTATCTTCATCAGTAAAATATGAATAATTAATACTAATACCTATCTGCTAGGTTACTCAATTGAATGAATTCCAAACTCCCAATCTATTATCACATATAAATCTAGATTAATACCCCATATAATAATAGGCTAGTATGCAAATTGTCCCCTCCACCCGGAGTTCAACCAGGAGTTCAACTTGGAGTTTGATCAGGGGGAGGGCTGGCCAGCCAACCGCTTGCAGCCCCTCCAATAGGGCCTGGCTGGCAGGACCCCCACCCATGCCCTAGGCCTCTAGTTTGTTATAATTATGTCCATAACAGTGGTTTCTGCTGAATCTGCCCTATGTGGTCGCATAATGAATCTAGTATGATGGGAAAGGGGGTGTGTAGAAATGGGCTTGAGGATCCTAACACAGCGATGGGAAGGGTCAGAGGGGACAATGTTGTATCCTCCAATGGTGGAAGGGATGACCTCCTGCTACATGCTGATGCTTTCTAAACACAGAGCAGTCCTTGAAGCAGGATCCATCGAAAAAGAAACCAACTGGCCTACCAAAGGCAAAAAGGCCAGTAGCTTTAAGCACTGGGAGGACCCATGCCAGCCAGTGACATCCCCTCCCGTGGATGTTCTGAGGAGAGGGAGTGGCTGCTTGTGTCTGTCCAGGGAGTGTGAGGGAGACACTGTTGGGGCCAAAATGGGATGTGTGCTTATGAATCACCGCCATTGGCAGTATTCCTAACGAGGAGACTGGCCTCTTTAGATAAGCTGTGGCTATTTTCCTGGAGACTGGGGCTTCCTGATTTGAACCCACTGATATAGGCTGACCATGAAGACGTCCTTTCACTGATCAGAACCCTCCAGGCTGCCTGGTGAGGAGAGAGTTCAGAGGTGGAAGCCAGGCATTCCATTCCCCAGACAAATGTGTCTGTACTGACTCAGGAAGAGCGGGCTGAACTTACAAGACTCAGTGCACACATGAGAGCCCCGAGCAGAGAAAGGCAATTCCAGGTGACAGTTCTTTGTTTTTCCTGGTCGAACAGGGGCAGCAGCTCTGGCTGGAGAGCATGGCCTGCCCTTTAGATTGCAAGAAAACAGGATCTCCAGCTTTCTCGCTTTCCCAGGTACTCCTGCAATGACCCAGGTGTACCAGCTAGTGGATCACCTTTCATGACCCTGCCATCAAGATGTGTGGGTGTTTGTGTTCTGTAGAGCAGATGGAAAATGCTCCTGCAGCCCTTCTCCCCCAACTCGGCCTGCCTGGCTTGAGGAAGTGGGGTTCCTTCCTGAGCTGTGGGCCGGGTACAGTCTTAGCCCTTAGGAAAGTGCAGCTCAGCCACAGAACCAACCTGCTCACTGTCCCTGCCCCGAAGCACAACAACTTTTCAGTGTGTGCAGTACTCTGAGGCCTGCAGGGCAGTGCGTCAGCAGGCGAGAGCAGGACCCCACACCCAGGCATCCTCCAATGACATTTCTCGCAGAAAGGAACAGTGATCCGCCCTGTTTTGCACAAGCCTGCATTGTGGGGGAGGGAGTGGTAAGTGGCATCTGCCTCACTGGCTGCTTGTGTCCTTACTCTGTGTGCTTCCTTTGGGTTTCTGGGCCTGAAGGGACCTCAAAAGTCCAGGCCTCTTAAAGATTCCCCCAGAATGAATAATGATTTATTATTATTATTAATTATTATTATTAATAATAATATTATTTGTGTATAGTAGTTTGCATGGCTTTGAAAGAGAAAGCTTTCCATGACAGAGTAAGAAAATAAAAGGTATCAAAAGGAAATTTTAAACTCCCCTTCTATAGGTACTCTGATTTCTAAATTGGTCCATCGCATTTGAGTTGGAGATGATATTTACAGGCATGAAGTACAAAACAGTTGTGATTTTAGAGCTCAAGGTCATATCAGGGAAGCAACCGTACCCTGCCTTCCATATTCTAGCTCCTAACTCTCAAGCAATAAAAAAAAAAAAAAAAAAAAAAATCTAGGTACCATGGAAAGGATGCTACTTTGCGCTTTATGCAGAAACACCTCAAATAGCAGAATGCCCAACCCAGCTGAAACCGGTTTGGCTCAGTGGTAGAGCATCGGTCTGCGGACTGAAGGGTCCCAGGTTCGATTCCGGTCAAGGGCATGTACCTGGTTGTGGGCACATCCCTGGTGGGGGGTGTGCAGGAGGCAGCTGGTCGATGTTTCTCTCTCATCGACGTTTCTAGCTCTCTGTCCCTCTCTCCTCCTCTCTGTAAAAAATCAATAAAATATATTTTTTTTAAAATGTTCAATCCAGTTGTATTTCTGCAAAGCTGAGCTGACCACGCCTGCCTGACTGGGGCTCCCTTTGTGCAGGTCCAGACACACTGAAGGGGTAACCAGGGCTTGGCAGCAGCAGCCCCATCACGGCTGAAGATTAATGATTGGGTGAATTGGCACAACCCCACTAGTTGAAGGTTAACAGCTCGGCGACTAATAGGATAGCAGCATTGATAAAATATTTATGATTGTTATTCATTATACACAACACTTAACAGCTTTATATTGATATGAATGGTTCATCCACATTGCTAAATAATGTATAAGCACTGGAAGACAGAGCACGATGTGGGGCCATAGAGCAGAGAGGCTCACAGTGTGGCTAAGGAATGGATGCACTGGAGGGAGAGCCCTGGCTCTGCCACTTCCATCCACCATTCTATATAATAAAGAGGTAATATGCAAGTTGGCCATCACTCCAACACACAGGATGGCCGCCCCCATGTGAGCACAAGATGGCCAGCAGGGGAGGGTAGTTGTGGGTGATTAGGCCAGCAAGGGAGGGCAATTGGGAGGGACCAGGCCTGCAAGGGAGGTAAATTGAGGGGGACCAGGCCTGCAAGGGAGGGCAGTTGGGGAGGACCAAGCCTTCAGGGGAGGGAAGTTGGGGGCAACCAGGCCAACAGGGGAGGACAGTTAGAGGTGACTGAGCCAGCAGGGGAGGGAAGTTAGGGGTAATTGGGCACAGGGGAGCAGTTAGGCATCAATCGGCTGACAGCGGAGTGGTTAGGGCTAATCAGGCTGGCAGGCAAAAGTGATTAGGGGCAATCAGGCAGGCAGGCAGGTGAATGGTTGGGAGCCAGCAGTCCTGGATTGTGAGAGAGATGTGCCCCGAGGGGTTCCAGATTGGAGAGGGTGCAGGCTGTGCTCACATACACACACACACACACACACACACACACACACACACACACACACATTTCACGCACCAGGCCTCTAGTGTTTCCATAAACTCTTTGAGGTCAGGAGTTATAAGCCATCTCCATCCTTTGTGGCAAAAACCCACAGCACTTAGCACATAGCCTAGGCATTCTCAGGACTTCACCAACTGACTGACAGTTGACAGACTATTGCATCAGCACTGCAGAAGGCCTGTAGAGGTCTTGCAGTGATTAGCAACACAAGGCCTCGGTTCACAGTTCCCTCCCCAACTCACACACTGACTTGGCCCGGATGCAGCAGCTGCAAGAAAAATGCTGGTACTGCTCTTGCAGGTGACCTACCTGAGGTGGTAGCCCCAAGTCATAGCTTCTTTGTTGGAGATATCAAGAAGGGGAAAGGGAGCCTAGGATTGATTTCCCTATGTTACACAGGGGAAATGTATCTTCGACATCTTCCTGTGTGATGCAGAGCACCTCTGAGTGAAATAAGAAGGGTTTCCCTTGCTATGTCTTCAAGGGCTGTACCCCTGGTCATGATGCAAATGAGGGAGGGGGGCTTTCTACAAAGTTATTTCCTACATTGAATCACCTGCTCTTTGCTCAAAAACCATTCTTACCTACTCCCCAGTCACTCCCGCCCCAAACTCAGGGATTACTCCCTCATATCAGACTCTGGACATATGAAGAATTACAGTTCAGTCTTAAATCTGTCTTCTGGGTTCCTTGGAAAGGATCTGTTTGAGAAAAGCCATGCCAGATTTAATTTTATGTTCATGCCTGCATACACTTCCTTAAATATATCATTAAGGGCTCCAGCTGGGTTGGGGAAAATGTTGAATATTATGGTATATTTGATGTTCTCATTTATTAAGATCTAACATTTCAATAAACCACATTCCTCCATCTGGATTTGATCTAGTGTTCAGCCCTAACACTAGATCTAAGCAGTTTAATCAAATGCTTTGCCTTGGTTGAATGTCCTGGTTGGATATTGAGTGAATTATTGAAAATTGTTTCCTATCATTGTTGACTGTAATGCTTTAGGAGATGTCAGTAATTACTTACCTTTGCAGAGTCTTGGGTTTCTGGATCACTAGTAACCCAGGAACCCAAAGGCCTTTGTTCGTCTACCCCTCCTGTTCCTAGGGTGGATCTCTCATTGTGCATTGGCTTTTCCATTGTTTCTTCAGTGGGATGAGGGAACATCACATAGCACTCTGCCTTACCTGGCCACGTACACTAACAAAATCACTGTGAGGAGGAGTAACAAATGCAGTGCTCCAGGGACGATGTGGGAAAATGCTGCACATTTCCTAGATGCCACTGTGCATGGCACTGTGATAACTGCAGCACACAGGATCATGGTGCTGCTTCTCATTGTGGGCATGGGGACAGAACACATGGAACTCCTGCTGCCTGATAATGCCTCCCCTTTCTGTCTCCTTAGCTTGCCATGAAGCACAAATGTTGAGGAACTGCCTATCCTGGTGACCCTCTGAAGAGGAATGGAAGAGTTTGTTCAGCAGTTTTTACAAAAATTCCGGACCTCTACTTGCTTCTTTTTTTCCAATAATATGTGGACATTTAGGGGTTTTGTTTTTCTTTTGAAGATGTTAATATGAAAAAGAAGAGGTTGTGTTTATACATTTCCCTAATGATTTTGCTAAGAATGCTGCAATAGCAACAGTTTCATTTTGGGGGGGTTTTTTGTGTGTGTGTTTTTTTTTCCATTGTGTGTATGTGTGTGTATGTGTTTTGCCTTTTTTAAACTTTTTTTTGTGCTAGTTTGAATGTGAAATTTGGACTAAATGATATACTGAGCTGGGTCTAAACTGGCCTCATGTATTTTTTCCCTGATATTAAACAGGAAGACATTTTAAAATGGTGACATCAGATGTTATTGTTCCTGGATGGAAATAAAAGTCAAGCCATGATTGGTTTCACTCAGTCTCCTAGCTACTCTTAATTTGAAGGTTAAGGTGCTATATCCTGAAAAATAAATCTGTATTATGAAAAACAATTGGATTTATCAGGGGAAACAGCAGTCTTAGATTTTGCTTTTTATGTAATAATCTATTGCATGAGCCATCACCAGCATTCAAAAATACAAATCAGAATCACAGATAGAAATCTCCTTTCTTAGGTACAGTTTAAATACTTGGTTCTAGGCTGATTATTTGAAACTATTAAATGATGGCTAAAAAAGTTGAGGTTAAAAATCGAAGAAAACGCCTATTTAAAAACCTCTGTGCATGTATATATGACTGCTTTGTGTGTGTTTTGTTTGTTTGTTTGTTTTGTTTTGTTTTTGTCATTGTCCCAAATTCCAGTAGCTGGTATTGAAAAGAGCTTGGATGTTTATCAAGAATTGATTTGTCCAGATAAACGTCTATGTAACTGATAATGTGAAAAGATACCCTCTCAATGTCCTTCAGTTTCCTGGTATCTGATTTTTGGAAATGTTGATGTTGTTATTGCTATTTATTTAATGTAATTTTCAGTATGGGTTTCTAGACAAATCGCATTTCATGGCAATTGCAGCTTGCCAGGTCTGACATAAAACAGCACCAACAAGAAGTGTTAAAGAAGTTGGCTCACAGGTATGGTTTTGAATCACTCGAGGTAGTACTGGGTTTAGAGCCTGGGGGTCTGTTTCTTAAAGGGTTCAAATGCTAAACATGAAAGCCATGCTTTGTCCTTCTGAAACAGGAGGAAAACTGCACATTCAGACACATGGCCAGCCTCCCACCACAGCACAATGATTTATTTTTCTTTAGGTATTACATATGTGTCTTTATTACCCCACTGCCCCCATAAGCACAATGGTTTTTAAGCTGCCTGAATCTTCAGGACCCTTTCCATCCCTTCCTATCATGGAGGCCAATTGAGTTCACATGTATTGTAGCCTCTTGCATAGCAGTGTAAGATGACTTTTGGATTATTTATACTGATTTCAATAGCTTAAGTTCTCCTTATAGAGACCTTCCCATGGAGATAGAACATTGGGCTATTGAAGAAAAAAATTATCTTAAACAGTATGTGTCAAAAGGGAGGTGGGATTTGCAGTAGACAAATTCCTGAATCCTCTTAGGGAGATGACCCACATCTTAAAAAACTCTGTAAAATTCATATTGTAAATTATAGAAGTTTACCATAATATTTTGTACTTTTCTTTTGGTGCCTAAAATGTTTAAAGAAATAAGAAGTTTTCTATCCGATGAGTATCATTAGAAGCATTTATAATTTTTATGAAAAGCCCAAAATAGCACTCCAAAAAGATTTTGCTTGCAGACCTCATTTCAGACACACACAAATATTCATTTTCCCAAATTGGATTCTAGCTTTAGAGGTAGATAGTTGGTATAAATAATTGAAAGGGTAAATCTAAAACACCCTGACAATAAGCCAAACTCAAAAATACAATTTGTTGCCAACTAACAACAGTGTTTAGGGGAGCTGCTTCTGAAGTAGCAGAGGATGAGGTCACAGCATACTGTGAAATTTGAGATCCTTCCTTCCTGCTCAAATTGTGATATTTACTCTTCATAAATATAAGTATTCCACATCTTTCCCTTTCTTCACTCTCTGTTTATGTTTTAGGCTTATGTCTTATTGGAAATAGCCTGGATTAGAAGAAGACCTATCTGAATTAGCTTTCTCTATTGATTTGTTTCTTGGCTGTGGCCATGACATTGACTTCTCAGTATCAAAGTCTTAAGTAGGGTTCCATCCCTCAGAGAGGCCGAAGATCAATCCCTGTCCCTCCTCAACCTCCTGAACTCTTGCACAGGAACCCTATGGTGAAACACATCCTTTTGTAGAAGGTGCTGTAATACAAAGTATTAATACAATCTAACCTAGAGAAAATTGCTAAAATGACTCACATTAGTTGGGACCAATTAATTTGGCTGACCTTGGTAGAGGGCATTTCATTTCTGTTCGTTTCATTCCTGCACTTTGCTATGAGTTTTCGATATACTGTGTTTTTTGTGAAGGACTTCTTAAATTGTATTGACAACTCATAAGAAAACAAAATTTCCCAGTGTTATTAGTTCCTGGAATGTAGCTGTAGTATTCTTCACTAGTATTATTAGGTATCTGTGTACAGGAAGTATACAGTTATTCAGGTTAATATTTCATATTAAAAATGTATTTGTAAAATGTAACAGGAACAGTAGTTAACATTTTTAAGCTCTGAAAAAAAAATAGAGTATGTGTTAGACTTCAAAGTACAGTGAAATCCGTCTTAATAATACTTTTGTGGCTAGCAAAGGTTGTGCATTTATGTAAAAATATTTACAGAATGCCCTAAATATGGGGTATTAAAGATAGATTTCTCTTTTGGTTTTAGAATTGTGGCACTCCTAAAGTCTGTTGTGCAGTTCATTCTTCAGATGTTCTCTAAGATGTCAAATACAATTTTTGTTTCTTTTAGAGACAAGTAACACCTGCTCATGATTCACTATGAAAACAAACCCTAATTTTGTCATTAAATATTTTAACTCTGTGATGAAAGTTTGTTTCTCTCAGCTATTTGTAAAATCTATACAAACACAAATAGGTAGGCATCATTGTACTGTTGATGCCAATGGGAAGATCTTGTGTGCATACAGGGGACCAAAGAGCTAGGATTAGCACAAGGATAAAGTTGCATAGCATTATGATAATGAGATTCTATCCAGCATTAGTTAAATATCTTTTATTCTCATGGGCAAAGCAATGAAGCCAATTAATAGTTATCTTTCTGCTGATGTTAGTGGTATGCTCAACTCAAGTACTTGGTATAGCATGCATCCTCATTCAACAGACTAGTTTCATGTCCTATTAAATTGGAAAGAAGACCCCAATGGGCTGAGGGGACTGGGTGCCACCATCTTGTGGCTGTGGTGGTGCTACCATATTAGAGGGTGTGGCAGTCAATTAGCATATTCCTTATTGGCTGTGGGCACCACCGTCTTTGAGGGCAGGGCAGTCAATTAGCATATTCCCTCCTTATTGGCTGTGGGTGCTGCCATTTTGGGATGGTGTGAGGGTCAATTAGCATATTCCCTCTTTATTAGATAGGAGGATTGGCCACTCCAGATTATGGGTGAATTCCTTCACTGAAAGACTGGACTCCCTGATGGTGTGTAGGCAAATAGAAAACCCTGGCTCCTGGAACTCTTAGAATTTCCTAAGAGTTGAGAATAGGAAAAGTTGTCTTTTGTGTTAATAAGTTTACTTTGGGATGTACCTAAAGACTGAGTTCTGGTTGCCCATAGAACCAAATACATGATTAGAGGATTGAAACTTTCAGCCCCAGCACCTCACACCTCTGGGGAAGGAAGAGGGGCTAGAGGGTTTAATCATTGTGAATAGCTAACTTATTGTCAATAGCCAATTATGTAATCATTACAAGACCATGTAATAAGCCTGAAGAAGATGATGTTGGAGAACCTCTACGTTGGTGAACATGAGTAGATGCGGAGAGGTTGGTGCACCTGGAAGCACCTTGCCTTTTCCCTGTACCTTGCCCTATGCGTCTCTTCCATCAAGCTATTCCTGAGTTATCTCTTGTCACAACGGACCAATGATTAAGTAGGTAACATGTTTCTCTGAGTTCTATGAACCTTTCTAGCAAATTAATCATACCCAAACATGAGGTTGTAGAACCTCTGATTTATAACCCGTCAGTCAGAAGTAAAGAAGACAACCTGGATTTGTGATTGACATTCTGAGTTGGAGGGGTCTGTTGGAACCTCCAGGCTTGGCCACTTGGTCAGAAACACAGGTAACCTGGGCTTGTGTCTGGCATCTGAAATGTATATTGGGGGGTGGGGCAATCTTATAGGACTGAACCCTTAACCTGTGGAATGTGAGGCTATATCTCCAATAGATACTGTCAGAATTGGGTTAAGTTCTCTGACACTCTGCTGGTGTCTGAGAATTATTTGTTGCTGTGGAGAAACCCCCATACTCCACATGGAACCCAATTTACCCCACCCACAAGGCAAATCTTACTTTATGTCTAAATGTGAATGGGCTAACAGTCCTCTTTTAACAAGATGGTGCAAAAGATGGATTTTCTTTTGGTTTATGTTTTGAAAATCCAGAAATTATGTATGAAAAGATTTGGTATAGTGAGAGCCAGCCTGACACAAAATTGATCATCATCTATACCTCCCCAACCCTACAGTTTGAGCGGTCACCTTTCTCCCTTCTGTGCCATTCTTGCTTTCCGACTTTTCTTAAATCCTGTTTTAGTTACTCTTCCAAGGTATTACCTACACTTAGCAGCTTAGGGAGTTCTTTCATCCCTGCCATGGCTTGTCAGTCACTTTGGGGAGCTTTTAGAAATGCATACATTTTACTCCCAAATTTGCCTTCTTGGTGACCCTGATCATCTTGGTAAAAATGACCCCTGCAGTCCCTGGATGGTAAGGAACATGGCTTCCCTAGATGATTATCAGATTTAAAAAATTAAATCTATCA